CAAAAATACAAGTGAAATAATACTAAAGAGAGAAGATACAAATGCCTTAAACAGATGAGAAGGCAAATGAGAGGTGTGTTTCAATCCTAAACATTAGGCCTTCTTTTATAGGGGAAAAATCCCCCCCAAACTTAACTCCCAACCAATGTGGGACTTTGGCATTTTGCCAAACTTCAACAGTCAAAGCTGATGATGATGATGTTAAAGAGGCCTTCAGCAAACTCAATGCTTCTGACTAGCCAACACTGATCACTTGCTCTTCAATATCATACATAGGCACATTTAGTTCTTGGAGTAAGCGCATAGTTGATGTTGAAGACAGAGGTCTCACTTCCAAATTGTCCATAACATAGAAAAGGGAGGGTGCCTCAGCAAACTTTCCGAACTTGCGAAGAAAACTATTCCTTACAGGGTCCATTGGGTCAAATAAGTAAGTTTCTACAGCTCCGATTTGCAGTAGCTGATTCTCAGAATCGTGGTAAGGGGCAATACCAGGCTTCAGTAATATCCTCTTAAGATTGTGATTCTCCACACTTCCAAAAACATTCTTATTTGCATATGTATTGAACCATTTCGGATCTAAAGCCTCCACACTTTTGTACAAGTTATCTATGGATCCCAACCCAGAACTCCCTTTTAGAGCATCTTCAAATGATCCTAAGGGAATGGTCAAGAAGTTGAAGAGAAAATCAATGAATTCATTGCCTTCCTCTGCACACAAGACCTTGTTTGTCGACTTTCTTAGTGTTAGCCTCAGCTCCAATTTCTCGGTGTTATTACTTGTTCCATTTTCAGAAATGGATGACAAATTTCCAGACTCAGGCATTGTGATGGTGTCTAGTCTTTCTCTTTTTTGTTTTTGCTTCGGCAGAAACGCATCAGACAAGGGAGTCTTTGAGATCAATGAACGTGCAAGTAGATGAATTACCTAAATGGTCAAAAAAAGGATTATGTTACTAGCTGCTAATGGCAATATACGAAAACTCACAATAAAACATTAAAATGTACAAGCAATATAACACCAGAAAGACAGAATATCAATTAGATTTATAAAGTCCTGGTAAATTAGTAATCACTCATTTTCTTGACATTATTGCAATTTGAAAAATGGTAAAGGATATTACCTCATTCTTGCCAACTTCTACAAGCATCTCCCTGATCTGATTCATATCACTCAGGCCAACATTAGAAAGCATCTGAACAAGAGAGCTTGGAGAAGCACACTTGAATTGCAAATTGTCAGTGATTAGAAATGATATCCCTCCTTTGAGAAATACGTACTTATCACGACAAGTATTTTCAACTGAATCTTTCAAAAACTGCTCTTTATTAGTCTTCCCTCCACATTGGCACGTAACATTCATGAAATAGCTCTTAAATGAGCAAGCTGAGCACTGATAACACTTCCTGGAGTCTGAATCCTCCACGTTAACTTTCAACTTCATGCAATACTTTGGATAGGGATTCCTTGGATTTAGCAGCATGGTTTTGCAATGCTCTGTGAACAGATTTTCTTCGTCAAGGTTTTCAACACTTTGGTACAAGTTGTTCATACAGCCAAAAGCTCCGGCTTCTGCTTTAGTGAGTCGTATTATCGTTCCAAGTGGTAAAGTGAGTTGATTCTGCCATGATTGGAATTGATATAGCGCTTGGGCTGAAGGAGCCCCTCCAGAGTCTGTACACACCCCAGTGAGTGCAGGTACCTATCGAGTACAAGTGCCGAGTGCCGAGCGATTATGAGGAATGGGTAACTGTAAGGTTGGAGTGATTGGGAGGACTGAGTGATGATTGCCCGACGGGCAGCATATCACCATATCATTGATGCACATAGTTGCCTTATATCCTTGTTTTGAGAACTGTTGAAAGATAATTTATTTGACTTTACTTGAGCTTGACTTAAATCAACTGACTTGACTTAAACTTTGGACTGAAAGCATGCCTATACTTTAGTGAATTTTATGAAATAAACTGCATATGCATAGCTCGTCACTACTTCTCAGTTCCCTATTTATTTCTCTTATTTACTGGTTGGTGTACTCACGTTACTCCTTGTGCCTCGTGTGCATATCCAGGAGTAGTTGATCATAGAGGTTGTAGATAGTCTTCGCAACAGATTTTGGAGATAGCAAGGTAGCTTCCCGGCGTTTGTAGCCTTTTTTTTCTTCTTCCCTATCTTCATTAATTGTATTTTTGTATTCCAGACTGTGTTGGTCTTGTTATTGTCGGACTATTTATGTTTAGATGCTCATGACTTAGTGACACCCCGATGCTTGGGGGATTTCTTTCTGCATTTCTATATTGAGTTTAACTCGTATTTATTTTTTGAAAAATCCTGTTATAAAAAGGTTTTGGCTTATCATTTAATGAATTATTGAAGTATTGTGAAAGTCGGCTGGCCTAGTACCATCGATAGCGCCATCACAACAGGTTGAGTTTAAGGTCATGACATGTTGGTATCAAAGCCTAGTTTTACATAAGTTTACATAACAAGTATGTCCATGAAATCTACTCCAGATTCAGCTGCAACTACCTGATTTTTCTTTTCATCCACCCAAAGCTTCAAGAGAACCTTGGTTTCTTGCTCGTTGTCCATTTTAAAGCAGTTAACTGGTAAACACTCTAATGATTTAGCAAACTACTGGCTGATATGAGATAGAAAGTAATTAGTCCAGAGTCGAGATAAGGGTGAATGAAATGGATTTTCTAGCTCTCAATGTAAAAGATGTAAAAATTTGTTCAAGAAATGAAAGACGTACTTAAAGTAGATAGCATGGATATGGACAAGGGAATACAAATATAGAAAAGTGATATTTTTTCGGGACAAACCAAAAAGAAAAGAGTTCCACATAAATTGGGACGGAGGGAGTAACAATTAAGGGGGAATGACATGTGACAAATATATTTCTATACATCAAATGACAAAATGAACAATATGCTGATAAAAATGAACATACGCTCATGTCATTACACATGCCAAAATGAACATACGCTGATAAAACATCCTGATATCACTATACATCAAATGACAAAAACCCAAACACCAAAGCCAGCACAACATCACACAACAATTTTACAAGTCCAGAACTACTAAAATATTACCTCCTGAGTCCTGAAGCATACAAAATATATCATTAGGCATCTACAATTTAATAACAATTCCTTTATTTCATTTTATTTTAATCTTTATGATGGTGTTGTCCAAGCGAGGTTGCTTAGCAACGAAAGTAAGTTCAATGAAGGGGTTCAATGGAATGTAAATAGGGTAAAAGTCGAATCCTTTTATGTATTTGATTTCCTTTGACAAAAGGGAAAATTTAAATATAGTGATAAATGTGGTTCAAAAACTGCTTTAGGTCACAAGCTTGAATAGGGTAAAAATCATTGTTTTTATATATATATACAAAGAAAACTTCAAATGTTAGGGTTCAAAAGTTACTTGAATCCACAGGTTTGAATCTTAGGTGTAGCAATTTTGACTCCACCACTGAGGTTGCTTTTGCCTCGACTAATTCTATCAGATATTCAAGTACTTACTCTTGTTTCTCAATTTATTGACAACAATATTTAAAGTATCTTTTTAAATATTCTTAGCTTTAAAAATTACTACTCCAAACTACTTATGCAATATTTAAATATGTAAATTTTATTTTAAAAGAAAGTTAAAGAAATGGTTGCTATTTCCAAAGAAGAAGAAGAAGGAAAAATACCTTTGTTGATCGTCGTTTTCTTTTTCTTCTTTGAACACTGCTGGAAGCTACTCAAGGGTTTTACTACTGTAACTTTTCCTCGTAACACTAAGGGGTCGTTTGGCAGGGTATATAATAATAGTGCGGAATAAAGTGTATTAGTAATGCATTGATTAGTAATGCATGGGTTAGTAATGCAAGCCAAATATTTTTATCTACTGTTTGGTGTGGTGTATTAAAATATAATGCATTGCATAATTTTTAAGAAAAATAGTTGCTTACAAAAATGTCCTCCATATTCTGTAGCTTTAAGGGACTTTTAAGGATAATTTTGTCTTTAACCATGCTAAGGCATGCATTAAAGCCTTGGTATTACTAATGTAATGGTTTTCTATGCATTACTTATGCATAGGATAATGCCATACACAAGTTGAAAAAATGTACCAAACAAGGTATTAGTGTGAGCACGTGATTTTTGTTTCGCGCGACAATCGCTCCAAGAGAATTAAAAAAAAATAACAATTGGTCCTGCTGTACAATTTTTGGATTTTTTACATGGCACTTTGTTAATTATTTATGACTTTTGCCCATTTTATTTTTATTAAAACAAAATACAAAAAATGTATGTGTCATGCGTAATTTGAACCGTAATCCGGTTGTTAAATAGAAAATCATAAATAGGCATCTTGGTCCGTGATTTTTGTTTTGTTTGATTTTACCTGCTTCAAATATTTTGATATGTGTGTAAATATTTGTATTAAGTGTCTATTTAATTTTAATTTGATTTACTTGGGTTTGTTTTAAAAAATAAAATAAAAATATATGTAAGAAAATATAAAAGAGAATGCAGAATTTGTTTAGAAAATCTGCTTGGGCTCATTTTTATTAAATTTGAGGCCCAAATCAAGCCCAGAGAGTGAGCCTGCCCCGGTCCAGACCAGCTGATACCCAGAGCTTCCAAACGACACCGTTTTAACCTGGTCTGATCTGGGCCGTTGATCTCAGATTGATCAACG